TTGATTCAATCTAAATCATTGAGTTACTAACATCCCGGTCAGATATTAGATGAAATTATAGGCAAACGTTCGACTTCTTCCTACATATATGGTTCCTATTTGCTGTCTATCAGATATTACCTTTTTATGGCAGTGCTTTTCATTAACCGTGTACGCAAGCCCCTCTGAAGTTCTGATAGGATCACTTCCCTATTCATGTACATATGTATGTCCTGCCACAGCATTGTCCGAGAAATTTCATTGATTCTAGTTGAGGTATTTTTTGTTAGAGCAAAACGAAAACCTTCTAAGCTAAATATGTATAGATATTCGAAAAATTTCAATTTTAATAAGCCTATCGCTCCTACATATGTATGTACTTAAGGGTGGTCCCTAAATATACGGATTTTTTTAGGTCTCACCCCCTCAATCGGCAATACCACTGTCACAGATATCACATATAAATTTTGGTCCCGATTGGAGAATGCTAAGGCGTGTCGCAAAGAGGGCAAAGTACAGATTCCCTATAGAGACTCAAAAAATTAAAATAATTTTTTTTTCATCTAATACCCAAAATCGGTACTACCATGTCGAATATATCACATTCAAAGACCAGATGCCACTAAGGACTCAAAAAATTAAAAATATTTTTTTTTTTCATTTAATGCCCAAAATCGATACTATTAAAATGGAAGATATCACTTATAGATTTTAGTTCCAATTGAGTCGGTTAAGGCGTCTTCATAGGATAATGTGAACTTTGACCCCTGTGCGACACGCTTTAACCGATTTCAATCCAGACCAAAATGTATATGTGATATCTTCGACTATGGTATTTAGTAGTATTGGGCAGTATCGATTCCAAAAGTACTCAGAACTCATTTCACAAAAGGATCGACAGCACCCGATTTTTAAAAGTATCGATACTGAGTACTCGAAAGTACTCAGTACTCACAAAAGAACTCGGAAAGTACTCAGAATCTAAAAGATTAATATATTAATTTGAATAAAGTGCTGCCAGCTTGTGAGATTTCTACTCTAATCACTGAAATGTTACCAACAAGTGTTTATTTAAAGAAAGTACTAAGAAAGTATAGAGGAATCTTACCTTTGCCCCCTGTGCAACACGGATCAACCGTCTCCAATCGGGACCAAAATTTATAAGTGATATCTACGGGTACAGTAGCATCGACGTAGGGGTTGAGGCTTAGGAAATCTGATGTAAAAATTTTCTTCCTACATTTAAGGACCACCCTAATATACATATGTATATTGCCAGCCTCTGTATAATTTACTACCTTAGTAAAGATTGCGTTCAAAGCGCTAGTTATTTTTCCTTAAGTATGTGGCTTAAAATTTATATTAAAATATCAATATAGTAGCATTGCCTCTACTACGATATGTACCTACGTACGTAGGTGACAGACGAAATCGTACGATGATTCGTGGTATGCTTTGACATTTTAACTTTTAACACATATAAAAGTAGAGAAGTATCTTAGTATCTGGAGTTCTTATTTTAAATCACGTTATAATATTTTGTTTGCTTCCTATTTTCGTAGATTCAATACCATGAAATCAGGGTTACGTGATTTTGAATTAGTCAAACCACAAATCCAAAAATCAAATTGATTTTTAAATTGAAAGTTGTATCAAATCCTTAACACTATACATTCATTATTTGTTTGAAGAATCAAAACATGAATAAAATTTATTCATGATTTGAGAATCAATTTGATTCGTGATTTTCCAACTAAAAAATACTTTTTTATGTAAGGCAATCATGATTTTCGAGTTTTTTTCCTATCTAAATCAAATCATGAATAAAATTTACTTTGTGTTTGGTTGATGAATCACCAATAAATTATATAAGTATTTCATTTGTTCGACAAATCGAATCACAAACAAATTTTATTTTTTATTTGTTCGAGGAATGAAATCAAAAATTAATTTTATTTTTTATTTGTCCACCTGTTGATCTTTTTTGGCCTACATTTCGCGTAAACTCCTTAGCATACTCAGGGGTGAATCTTTATTTTAAAATAAACAAACAAATCTTTTTAAAGCTAAAAACAAAATGCTAATGTGGATACTAAGGAGATTTAGCGAAACGTAGGACGAAGCAGTGAAAGAGGAACGTTTGGTTTACTTGCACTAATTACCAATTAAGCCCAAAAAGATCATCACAAGGAACAAAATATACGACGAAAATTGACCAGAAAATAAGATTTTGTATTACATTTTATTCCTTATTTGGTAGAAGAATCAAATCTCAAATACAATTAATTATTATTCGGTCGATGAATCAAACCACAAATCAAATTTCTTAATTAAAACCGGATTTAAAATCAAAAGATATCTTAAATCACGCAACCCTGCCCGAAATCTATCGTAGTATCTATAATTATCCTTGTGAGGGTGACACATGTTTGGGTAGATCGTTGTACTACGATGTGTGTCTCTAGCATTAAACAAACTCCGTTGAGAAAGCCTATCTACATAATGGAAACTTCATCCATCGGAAATCCTTTTTTCTATCTGCGGATCTTCCAAACCAAAACTTATTTTATTTTTTATGTATATCTGGGAACAGTGACTTTGCAAGAATTTATAGGCAAGGAAGGCAGTTCCCTTAAGAGCGAAATACACCACATAAGCGGCTTGTCAAACACACTTCAAACCTACTTTTTCTATGTCGACATACACCATGAAAACATGACTATTTGAACTAAAGAATTTTAGTTTTCTTCCGGTTCACAATGTTAAAAATTATTGTTTTCTTCCATTTTCCTACCTTACGTCTTCACTCGGTGAAAATCCCGTTGTAAATGAAGCGAATTTGTCATTTACAACGCAAGCCGTTTGACCAAACGAGAACATGGCGGCCAGAAAGTTAAAAAAATTTGATTTTTGTTCAAATTTACCTCAGATGGCTTGTGGAACCTTCAAGCACCCCCATACACAACACAAATGGCTTGAAGCAAAGGGATACTTCGCTTGGTTTGTCAATCCGGTTGTGTTGTGTATTTCGCTCTTTAGCTGGGGCTTCTTTGACAGTAAGACTACTGAATGAGCTTATTAGGCTAATATAAGCGGAAACTCTAGTTTCTGGCAGGACCGGGAACTGGCCACATGCTATCATCCAATATTGTTGCATATCATTATTACACTGCGGCGGTGAAAGACTACGAAGTGAAATCACATGGTATTTTTTTCCTAGCTGCCACGTATTCACTCCTCGGACTTTATCAAAAACCTGGAAATTCTGGCCTACCTGCAGATGAAAGCAAGTTGCTACTTAAAGTAATTTAAAAAAATTTAGGTTCAAAATTAGTGAAATCGGGGGTTAACTTTTCTGGCAATGATAAAAGCGATAGGAATATAAACAGTAAAATTTCTTTAGACCTTGTAAATCTGATGGTGTGTACATACATATGTAAATAAAGGGATGGTATACAAATGTAAAGGAACGTCAGGTATACATATCACTAAATCTTATCTTGGGCAAATATTTTTTCCATTTTAAAAAGCTTCTCTTTAGAACTACCACCGAAATTTTCATAACATCTCATTTTCAAGATTGATTTGAGTGCCAAACGTTCTTCCTTTATTTACTTGAGGTTTGCTTTACACTCTATAAAGTACCTGTTACATTAGGTAAATACCACTTAAATATATTTACATATGTATTATGTATATTAAATTGAATTTTAGCGTTAATAGTGTCAAATCAAAACGTTTTAGATTTGTGAAATTTTAGAAATTTGGCTGGTAAACTCCTACTTCATGTGTATGTAGATTTCTGCACATGCACATACAAATGGGTGCTTAATGTTCGAAGCAATAGTCAGATGACAACAGCCAAGTTGTTTCCCAAATTACAGATATTCAGCTATGATATGTCTTGTGAATAAAAACTTTACCCAGAAATTGTGTGCAGCCCACTTCCGGGGCTTACGGTTACTTGCAAATCTACATAGCCATACACTTGTTCATACTTATGTGTGTATGTAAGTAAAGATGTTTAGTAATTATATTTTTTACCCTCGACGACGTAAACTGGATATTCGTAAGTAAGGATTAATCGTGCACTGTCCTACAGAATATCTTGGTTCCTTGTGATTTTGTTTGAGTTCTAATTTTAAAGCGCAACATAACATACGTTTTTGAAAATATGGTTTTTCCGATTAAAATATAAAAACACAAGAACTTATTGTAACACAAATATTTGGTACAACATTTACATATATAAGCTACACAAAAATTGCCACAGTTAAACAATATTAAAGCCAAACACAAATCAGGTGAAGTCGACCTAAACGTATAAACTAAAAAAAAAATGTCTAAGCTCTTTATAATTGTTGTCTTATGTATTTACATAAATTCGTTTCAAAATTTATTTAAATGAAAAGCAAGAGAGCTTGACTGTCCAAACAAAAATTAAAAACTCGATCAATTGAAGCATTTTCAATACTACATAGAGCGAACACTGATTACAAACATTTATTTGGCGTATGGTACGCAGTTTCTTGTGGATGTTCACGGTTATGTTTACTGAGTCTGTACGAATACGTTTGTGGTGTTTGGAATGTAAAAGGATTTCTCAGTTGGAGCTAATGTAAAACACCTCGTAAAACATGTGGCTGTTAATTCGCTATGTAGGGAGTTACATTTTCTGCAGTTTTTCAAAGAATATCAATAAAATTGGCAGAACAAGGCAGGTGAGTGGGAGAGGGAAAACATTTATTATAACGTTGGTTGGGTGGTAGTTGAGGGAATAATAGTAGTATTAGTAGTAGTAACAATAGTAGTTTTAGTAAGCAGTTGCTTGTGTTATTTTGTAATAGCAGTAGAATAAGTAGTTTTTTGGTAGCAGTACTACTAGTAGTACTAGTAGTAATAGTAGTAGTAGTGGTAGTAGTAGTAGTGGTAGTAGTAGTAGTGGTAGTAGTAGTAGAGGTAGTAATAGTACTAGTTTTTAAGTAGTTTGTAGTAGGATAGTATAATACATTCTCGCATACTTGTATTTGTTCAAATGGTACTTCAAATGAGAACGACTCATTATAGTAAGGGTTGAGGGTGCATTTTTTGATACTTGTCTTCTTCTTTTTCAAACGTTTTCCATTTTGCATGATTGCAATTTTCACATATGGATCTATAAAAATAGAAAGAGAAAGTGAGAAAATAAAACGTAAATACAATTTTGTAATACGATTATATAAGTATCAACTTGTTTGCAATAATTACTTCGATTGGGTCCCAATATGCTAAATTTTTGTTTGCGCTATATTGGTTCCACCTTATGGATATAGGTATGTATATAACTTGGTTATGCAAATTGCCAAGTTCAGTAAAAAAATAATTTCACATATATGAACTATTTTTGTTTTTTATCTTTTTTAGAAACCAACTTTAATACATTTAATAGATATGGTTCAAATAAATGAAGGAAGAAATTGAGTAAAATTAAGCATTTTAAATCTTTTAAGAGTTTTAAAGCAAAATGTGCCAACAAATGGTGAACTGAATCTTGGTGGCTACGGTTGTTGGTAACTGCTTTGAAAAAGTGACGCCTATATTGAACACCTAGAGCTTATCGCCATATGAGAGTTTTGCTAGATATTGCGATTACTATTCTTTTGTTTTATGGCAATTCCGTTAAAAAGTAAAACAGTAAACTAATACAAGAAAAAAAGTCAAGGTCGGGCGAAGCCGAAAATTAGATACCCGGCGCAAGTATTAAATATAGTTTTTTCACCTTTTCGAAAACTACCGCATGTTAAACACCTTTTGTTTTACCCCTATTTCAAACATCTTCGATAGAACGTTCAGTTAAACATAATGAGATAAAGGCTGACTTCCCAAACGTATTAATATAATGTTTGGATACTGTTATACTGCGGTATTCAAACTGTTTGTATTTGCAGAGTTGTGACACATTGTAACCAGTGTTGCCAGAACTTTTTGGGCCGACCGGCTAGATTGGCAAAAAAAAGCGGCTAAAAACGGCTAAAATGTTTTAGTGAAATTTCACATAGACTCTGGCAAAAAACGGCTAAAATGTTTTAGTGAAAATCCACATGCTTTATTTAAATAAATCGCAAGAAACGAAAGACTAGTTAACACCATTAATTTATATCGAGTGTATATTCCTCATCATCAAATGAATCACTATTGTATATATCACCTGAATTCATTAATTTTAAGAGATCGTCATCTACAGTAAAATTATGGCAGCATTTTTCTTCACGTTTTAAACCGTATCTTATATATAAAATAGCGTTTAACGTTTTAACGCACATTGGATTTCTTTGCTTAGTTTTTATTATATTCATTGAACTAAATATTCGCTCTACTTCTGCATTACTTATAGGCAAAACAAGAAAACTAAAAACTAGGTTGCAAAGGTCAGCAAAAGGGTTTTCTCCTAGGGCATTTCGAAATTGATAAACTTCGGCCCAAAATTTTACAGTTGAGTCTAAATTACTCCAGGTATGTAACGTTAACCGTTGCCATTGCATCTCTATGGATGTTATTTCGTCGGCATTATATTTGTGTTTTTGTTGCTGTAGTTGAACAAATACTTTTGGTTTAATTACTCTTAATGCATTTCCAACCGAAAAAAATCAATTTTTTTTAGTGTGGCAATATTTGTAGGGAGGCGTTGGCGTAATTCCTTTATTAAAGTGATAATAAAATAGCGACCATTTTCTCGAATTATTTTCTCGGCTTCGTGGTCAAAAGCGTTTGTGCTTACTTTTGTTTTTAAATACTCTTCAAAACTGTGATAAAACTGAGGAAATGGAGCAAGGTATGGTTCCAACGGGGAGCATATAGGATCAAATGTGTCCGCGCTAATAACCACTAGGGAGCATAGATGCGAAAGTAAAACATTGAGTTCATTAAAAATCTTCATTGGGTCTGCATTATTGCTTTCGAACAACTTGTTTACTTTTTGCACCTGAAAATTAGGCAAATAGTAAAATCGGCTAAAAACGGCTAACTTTTTTTTACAAACCGGCTAACAAATCGGCTGCCGGCTAGATCGAATTTTCTCCGGCTAGTTGCTATCAAAACCGGCTAAATCTAGCCGGAAAACGGCTAAAATGGCAACGCTGATTGTAACCATATTTTAAATTTTCAATATAGCAATGAACAATTTTTTTGACTTTTCCATTTTTAAAACACCAATGGTAACCAATAACAAACGAAGCATCAACTTTGTTTCTGATGCGCTGATTGCTCTAGCGATGCGTTTCGATTACTTTACGGATGCGTTTTGGAAAAGTATACATTGTCAATATTTTGTAGTTCGGCGTTATGGAACATTATACTTTGTAGTAGAGTTGTTGTTCCATGTTTCAGAAAAAAACTATCATTACTCGTTGATAGTTTGCAGCAATACTATCGATAGTGTCAAACGCTACCATCGATAGTACTATCGATAGTCAATGTAATGTTAAAAACTGTTCCAAATTAACAGGGATGACATCGAAAAACAGAAAAAAAACAAAATATTGAAAATATAAACAACGTAGGGCCGTTTTCTCAAGTAACTTTTAACTTTAAAATTCACTTTATGTTTAAATATTACTTTAACATGTATAGTTCTGTCTAAGTAAAGCATTTTATTATCGAATTTTATTTATTTATTTACATATCTATTACTGAAGCTTACAATTAAAAATAAAATTATGAGCCTAATAAAAAAAAAGCTTCTTCTTATGATCTATAACACATGGCAACAAATATGGGAAACAATTTGTTGCGGCAAATGTTACAGCTGCTTTTAATTGGCTTGCCAGTGCTGATTACGAATCCATGAGCATAAGGTTTCCATCAGTTCCAGATTTAGTGAAAAACGAGGTCAAAATGTCAAAAAATCGTGTTTTTTGGCAATATTTTAGAAGCTCTAGCAAAGAAACAAAAGGCGGTATTAGGCTTAAATTAAAGCTAGAAGTCTCGACTACTATCCCTGAAAATACCATCCCTACACCTTGACCTGATGGTCACTTATAGTCATTTATTGAACAGCAAAACCTGATTTTGTGCGAAGTTTGAGTACCCACCGCAATTAAACAAAAGGGGATAGAGCCTTCCACTTGGGCTGAAATTAAGGCTTGAACTTTCGACTATAATCGCTTAAAATACCATCCCTGAACCTTAACCCTAAGGTCACTTATAGTTATTTATTTAACAGCAAAAACTGATTTTGGCAAAACTTATTTATTTTTTTCAATAGCACAGTATTAATTCCAGTAATTTTATATTGTTCAATAAATGACTTTTAGGGACCATCAGGTCAAGGTGCAGGGATAGTAGCCGAGAGTTATAGCTTTAATTTAAGCCCCAGTTAAAGGTTCTATCACCTTTTGTTTTTTGTGCTAGACTTTCTAAAATATTGCAAAAAACGCGATTTTTTGACACTTTGACCTCGGTTTTCTCAAAATCTGGAGCTGACGGAAACTTTGTGCTTACGGACTCGTAATCAGCATAAAAAAGTCTATCAAAAATAGCTTTATCATTTGCCGCAACAAAATCACTGTTGCCTTGTTTAATTCTTGCTTATTATAAATTTTCAAATATGATATGTTTTGTTTAAATTTCGTAATATAATTTTTTGATTTGTTTACAGCCAAGAAACATACAAATGTCAAACACCGATAATAGAAATGCTTTACTTCAGACATAGCCTTATGGTTTGAAGCAACGTTTAAGTATAAAGGGAGCTTTCCAATTAAAGGTTGCTTGAGAAAACGACCATTAAAGGAGGAATCACAATGAAAGTATCACTTATAATAAAAAACTGACAAACTTAAAAAACTGACGCGCAGCTACATGGAGACATTATAAATAAAATCGGCTGTGCTAGGGGTTTTAAACTATCGATAGTCAACTAGTACTATCGATAGTTTAACCTTTTTTGAGAAAAACTATCACTACTCATCGATAGGGGCAAAAAAACAAAACTATCGATACTATCGATAGTACCATCGATAGTTTGACACCTCTACTTTGTAGGTATGCAAAGCAAATGACGTTTTGGAAGTCAGCCAAACTTATCTAGTTATATGTGGGCGGTATCACGTCCATTTTCCAAAATTCCGTAATAATGTTACTTCTTTTCAAGGGATTGTTGTTAGTACAATTTTTGAGTAAATTGGCGTACTTAAATTTCGAAATATCGAAGCTTCAAGCATTTCTGAAATTTACCGTTATATGAAAAGTGGGCGTAATTTTAGTCAGATTTCAATAATTTCAACGTTTTGCTTTTATGTGGCAAGCGCAATATCTAATACATTTATCATCCATCAGTTGTAATCACATATAAACAGGGTCAGTTTTTCTATAAAGCTTTACTACAAACTATAAACCCATAGTTTATAATTAGAAATTATATCTAATATAATGCACATATGGAATAGGGATTATAAATCTCAATAATCTATAATAAATTTTTCCATATAGTTTAGATCTGAATGTTTTCGTCGCTGGATTAATATTTGCCCCTTGTTTGAAAGTACATGTTCGCTTGGAACGGTCTTCGCTACAAATCGAATCGAGGGTTACCATTTCACTTGGTAAGACTGTTGCGATGAGCAAAAGAAGGCGAGAGAGTTTTTTGGGGCTTCAGCATAGTAGAGATGTGGTTGCCATACGTGTTCGCCGCACACATTATGCTTGCTTCACTTAAAAGGTGTTCGCACGAGGCGATTTTGCGTTCAACTTTTGCTTTCAACTCACGCAGGGTTGCACGAAAAAAAAGTTGAATGGCTAAATGTTGGCTGGCGACCAACTTTGTTGAAAGCGATTAGTTGAAACGCCGTTCAACCAAAAGTAGAATGCAAAGTTGAACAATGCAAACGCCTTTTTATGGCGAATATTTTTATATTTTTTTTATATGTTGATATTTTTAGCCATTCAATTTTATTTTCGTGCAACCCTGCGTGAGTTGAACGCAAAAGTTGCCTGAAAAAGCGCCTCGTGCGAAAGCCCTATTAACTACAGCTCGCTATACAGTTTAATGCGAGCGTGAGCCTGAACATTCACAAAGGCAAAGAATTCCATTTGTATTCTTATGCACGCTCACACACATCTGTCAAAACTTGTCGTTCACTTGCGAATGCTTTGCGTTCGCACACTGTTGAGTGTGAG